CCGTTTGACTAATGCAGATGGAGTGAAGCCCTTTTCTGACCACTAAAAAGAACGTGCTTAATGAGGACACATGGGCAGAAATATTGCATCCAACCAAGTTGTTCAATTGATAAGTTGTGTGTTCACTCTTATCTCAAGTCTTAATTAAATTTAAATTCTCTTAAATTCTCTCTTTTAAGACTGATTACTCGGCTTGAACTAACTTGATTGTCGACCGAGCTAAACATTTGAGTTAGGAAGGTAAAATTTTAAAAATCTTTGTGAGTCACAATCAATTTATAGTATTATAATTTATATCGAATTTTTATATCAATTATTAACTTTATGTGTTATGTATCAATTATATCATGTGCATTAAATTTTTAATTAATTAGATATGTTTAATTATTTTTGAATAATATACAATTTAAAGCCCTTAAATACATATTATCAAAATATACTTTATTTTTTCATATGATTACATATATCAAATCAATCTCAAATTTAAAACATATGATTTATATGAATAGAGTATTAAATTTAATTTTCTAATTTGATAAAATATAAATTCTACAAAAAAAATATATTTTTGATGTACTAAAAGCAAGTGGTTCAAGCTCGTAGTGAAGGAGGATGGAGAGGGAGATCACATGTTCAAATTCTTGTTATAAGGGTGTGCAAGCTTTTTTATATTAATGACAAAGTCACTTCAACTTAGGATTGGTCACATTTTGGGTATTACTAAACTATCCAAATTTGTTACCTAAATTTTTGAATTTTGATTTGGATATTTCAGATATCAGGTAAATTAAGATAAAACTAAAATGATCAAAATTAATTTTGGTTCGGATATGGTTATTGACCCATATCTAAAATTATCATTATCAGCTACTAAATTATTTGGAATTATTTGAAAATTTTTAGTGTAAATTTATTTTTTTTTATTTTGATTTTTGTGCTATATGAAATTTTTTAGGACAAGATTCTCTTTTTAGTCAAATTTATATATTGGAATATATAAAAAAATCAAAATTAAAAGGAAAAAGTTTTTAATGACAAAAAGTGAAGAATAATTGTATATTTCAGTTATTTTGATTAATTAACTAAATTATCCAAATGATTTTGAATAACCAAAATCATAATCCAATTAAAATTTTGATTCAAATTGAATATAAAAGCCTTATTTGAAATTATTTTAGATAATCAAAATTTTGATTTGGTTCATATTCGGTTCAAATAATCCAAACCAAATGTCCAACCCTACTTCAACTACTAAAATTTCATAATATATGTGTGTATATATATATATTAGTAGAAATTCATTTACACATAAATTTTACTTCTTATACTTATATAAAATCTCAACTATTCATCTCTTTATTTTAAATAATTGAGATTTATTTATATTTTTTAAATATAATTATTTTTTATCTAAAAATAATGATAAATATTAACTATTAAAAGTAAAAAAAATAAATAATTAAAATTCTGTATAAATATGATATCTAAAATTT